AACTGTTAAATTTGATGGGCATTTTGGCATTCAAATTACTTTATATTCATTTAATTTCATACCTCAAATGCTTTGATGCCTATAGTACGTAGAAATCAATTTAATTCAGTTAATACTTGAGTATTATTTAAGTAATACTTGAGTATTTTAGAAGCTAAAAAAACCCTGAAAATCTAATTTAAATAACTTATCATATACCAATAATAGGTCATAGGATAAGATTTATTTTATACTGAAAGAGGAAAAAGAAAATTCAGTGCTGCTTTATATTTTGGTCTACTGAACAAAGGGTTACTTTAGTACTAAATAAGCTTCAATGAATTTTCTTAGATGGTCGAGCCATAAAAATGACAATGCATTCACAATGAGCATTATATTCTGCTTTTATTGAGCTCACTGTGAGCAAGAATAGCTAGCTATGCAAGATAAGTTAGAGGTATAGATTTTGAAAGTTATGCATGTTTCAAAGAGACACTATTAGTTCATTTAGGAAAAAGGGAAAAATCTTTATTGAGCCTACCAGGATTTCTATTTCTTGATACACCTCAGCTTCTTCTTTGATAACTCCAAGGAAGCTTCCTTACTATCTGGTTCAGACTTCGGCTATACTCATACTTAGCCAGAAGATGTTCTAAATAAATGGATCTTCTCGATAACTCATCTTTATCCCATTATGCAACAGAACATTTTATATTTTAGTCATTTTATAGATATTTTCTAAAAGACTTTATTTCCCTTCTTTAAAAAAACATAGTCGAAACTTAATTTTAACCATTTCCTACAGATTTAGTCAAAACATGAGCATCAATTGTATTGTACAGTGATACTGCTATACTTTGATCTTATGTTTTCTCGCCTCTGCTTGATGCCATTAGTGTGTTCTTGATGTTTCTGATGCCTAGATAAGATTCTGAGTGTAATATATATGCTCCTAAACATAAAAGGCCTGGACTTTTGACATTTAGCTAATCTGAGGTCTTTTTCTCAACCTCTTTGCACCTCCAAGGCTGGTTTTCAAATGACTAAAGTGACTATAAGAAAATCACAGCAAAATAGGCTGCTGACACTAACAAGGGAGTTCTAAAGAACTCTAAGAGGTGTAACAGGGTTACATGACTATGATTACACTATAGGAAAACAATGTGTGTTTTCCATGTATTTGTATATGATAAACGAATGTCAACCAAACTATGAATGTGAGTTTACATCTACATGGGTGCCCAGAAGTAGTCAGAGTACAAAGATACAACTTTGGCTATTTATGCGGCTAACACAACCGGACTTCTGAAAAGCACAGAGAATCCTCAAAACCATCAGAAATATTCATAAATCCCACAGTACATATTTTAGAATTACAAAAAATCCAGATTCTGCTCTCTCCACATATAAGTTGAACAAATCACAAAATTATCCAACTTTTTTTTCACTTTGAGCATTAGTAACAGACCAG